AACCCAAGGCATCACCCTTTTCCTGTTACTACAAGTACCATTTTTGCTTTTGAGGGCGCCCTTCTCCATTGCCCAGGGCGGGGCTCTCGATCCTCACAGGAGCTGAGGCTGGAATCTGTCTAACTTCCAACAGTTTGGAATCCTCGAGGCAGATCAGGACCACAGGCCACGGGGAAACATTGGCGCCGCCCGTCCCTATGAATGGCCGCCAGGGGGCGCTGCAAGACTGCATCCCAAATTTTGAGCAGCCAGATAGTTGTTTCAAGGCTTCAGTAGACCCTGGAAAACGTGGCACGGGTGGAAACTACTCCAATGCAGAGTGTAAAAATTTATAAGGGAAAAAAAAAGGAAATTTCCGCAATAATGAGCAGAGTTCCTGCTTCACACAAGGCTCTTCACTCATTGGTGGGGAAACACTCGAAACAGGGCAAGAGCATAGAAGTGAGAGGGCCTCAAAATGTGAGCAATAACATTGCTGGGGGACCATAGAAGATCCCAGAATCCCGTTTAATGGTAGTATTAAAATATTGTTATATCAACAACGCTAACTGCCTTGCCAGTGCACGTTATTCATGTGTGTTTTAGATGAGAAAGGGCCAAGAACCACCCCAAAACAATGAGTCATTATTAAAGATGGATTACTGACTCTGTCGTTTTCCCAAAATAATCCTTCCTACCCCACACTTTCACTCATACAACAAAAATTCATTGAAATCCAGTCTGTGGCTTCTGGGGATGCTGAGAATATATGACTTTACCCTTTTGGAACACACACACACACAAACACACACACACAAACACACACACACCCCCCCCCCCCCCCCCCCCCCCCCCAGACAAGGTTTCTCTGTGTAGCTCTGGCTGTACAGGAACTCACTATGTGGTCCAGGCTGGGCTCAAACTCACAGAGATCCACCTGCCTCTGTCTCCTGAGTGCTGGGATTCAAGACATGAGCCACCACTGCAGGGCCAGAACTTGTATTTTCAACACAGATGAAGGGTAGAATTTTAGGGAACTATAAATTATGGAAAATAAATTCTAGAAGAAAGAGGATATAGTATAATGAAGTAGGTTACCACTCTGATGGGAGAAGAAGTAACCCCCTTGCCTCAGAGCATCCAGCCCTTTAACAAATAATGAGCAGCACCTATTGGAAGTCAGGCTGTGCCAAGAATTTTAGGGTGAACCTGAGCAGGTCTCAGCTTATTCTCCTGTTTCTCTAGCTCTGGCCAAACAATAAAGCAGGACAGATTTCCATTGACTAGATCCCATCTTCTAGAGTTTCATGCAAAGGGTACCTCCTGCTGCATTTCTTGTGATAGGCCAGCTCTTCCAGTATGGCTGGAATCTGCTCAGGTACCAAGCATACTTAATCACGAAGTGCATCCTTTGCCTCCATCTTCCTGCCAGTAGGAGAATGATGAGAAAACAAGGGCTAATGCACATCAGCCTTCTTCCCTTCTTGGGTGGAAAAATCTCTTTAGAGTAGATACCAAGATCATACTGACTAGGAGGAATGTGTGATACAGCCTCTCAAGGACACTGTGTTGTCTAGACTTCCTTTCACAGCTAAATAACTTCGCCTTCCCCTCTCCCCTCCATCTCCTGCCTTTGAGACTGCTTTGCCCATGATCCCATGTCCCTAGAGCAGTTAACAGTGAGTGGCCAATGGACGGTCATCCCAGAGCTCTGGCCCTGCTGTGACTGCCCTATAACCTGGCTCTGTCCAGTCCTGCTTCTTTTCCTCCACCCAGAGATATGGAGCCCACAAGCATTCTCTAATAACTCCTTGCAACTCAACCTCTTTTCTAGGGAAATCAACCCACAGCATCTAGTGCCAAGATAACCCGACGTACTTGCTAAGATTCAGAGCTGGACCACCTAATAGAATGAGGACCAACCATTAGGAGGAGAACTTGGGCAGTCTCCAGCACAGGAAAGAATGCAAAAATGTTTCCTTATAAATGGGATGGTGTAACAGAGGAAGAAAATATACTGGCATGAATCATAAACACATGATAAGACACCCCTCTGGCCAGGAGTTGTCAACAATAGCAATCTCTAGAAAAGCAGCAGACTGCTGTTACTGACAGGGACAGGGGCAATGTTTGGCACTCAACTAATCCACATGGTTGTCACAGTACTGTCCTGTCCCATTTCTTACAGCAAATGGGTGAATGTAACAACTGCATCTTAAGAAGTGTATAGCAACATTGGGGGGCTTAAACATTTGGGGAAATGAGGGTCTAAGTCACCTCAACCCATAAGTCACATCAGCAGTTCTGACAAGAGATAGGAGGAATGGTGGGTGAGTAACAGAGGGAAATGATGGGAGAATCAGTTTTGCCTCACGATAGCAGTGCCTCCTCTGGTAAAAGGACCATCACAGTCCTCCGACAGGAGCTGCTCTCAGACCCTAAAAGAAGCAAATCTAAATTGGGAGCTATGCCATAAAAAGAAACGATAAGCTTCTTGTTTCTTTTTAGAGACAGTCTCTCTAGGTAACCCAGTCTGGTCTTAGAACTCACAGTTTTACCTCAGCCTGTCATAGACAAGAATTGCAGGCATATGCCCCCACATTCAGCCTTGTGTATACTTTGCAAAAATTTTCTTACTTTGGTATGTAAGTACAGGTGCCCCTTCATGGTGGAGGGATTGATCTCAGCTACACATCTTTTACCGGTGTTTGTGCATGTTTACATGCATGTGCAAGACAGAGGTCAATGCCACTCTCCACCTTTTCTTAAACAAAACAAAACAAAAAAAAAACCAAACAGGGTTTTTCACTGAACCTAGAGCTCACCAATTTGGCTAGACTATCTGGTCAGCAAGCCCCGGGGATCTTCCTGTCTCCATTTCCCCCAGCAGGGGATGGCAGGTGCTGTGCCTGGGCTCAAATGGGTTCTAAGCAAGTCCTTATGTTTGCACAGTAAGCACCTTACTGACTGAGCCATCTCCCCAGCCCTCCGATAGTCTTCTTGAGGAACTGTCCTTGGCTGGACAGGCTGCCTTCCCCAAGGTTACACCCAATTCCTGGGGTAGTACCTCATGCCTGGCCAGTACTAGAAGACCTCATCCCTTTGTCTTGACAGAACTAAAACACCCACCTTCGCCTGAGACCTTTCAGTTTGCTAAAGCCTCCTGTGCCTGCAGCTGATTTCTGCCCAATTCTACTTCCTCTCTTCCCCCCACAGGAATTGGTCCTAAAACAGCTCCCTATAAACTTCCTACATACCACCGATCAATAACTTTTCATCTCAGAGACAGTTCCAAGACAATCAACCACCGAGACAAACTCCCATTTAGGCCCTGGGTATAAGATCCTCCCCTCTGGATCTGACTTTTGTCTTCTCTAACCCTAAGAATCCCAGGTACACGTAGGCCTGTGTATAGTTAACTTGACCCCCAGAGAAAAAGTGTGTTCATTATCCTGCCAGGGCAAAGACACTCCTTCAAGTGCAGAGTAATAGCACAACGTTTTCTCGTTTTCCCTGAAGTCCCATCTGGATCCAGCCTCTTCTGAGCGAGTCCCGCCATCCATCACAATAAAGCAGACCATATTCACAGCCCTTTAACAGCCACAGTATGGCTATTTATGTCTTCAGGCTGACAGCCATAGATCCCTCCTGGGGGCCCTCTGTGATCTTCTGGGTCCCCAAGGGTTTTCTGCCATAAAGAGCATGGTGGCTCCTCTCTGAATAGAAAGATTCCAGCTGTTTTATTCAGGTGAGTGATGGGATACTTCTATCATGAAGAGAGTCTTTTGGGGGAGATAGGAGACAAAAGGCCCAAAGCAAGGACATGGATTTCTTAAGTTCACATCAGCAGCGGAGCTGGGATTAGAACATATTTACTTCTGCATCCCTTTTGCTCTACCTCACTCTTCCCTCCCAAGGCCCACAGTTTCAAGTCTACTAGAATCCAAGTAGAGCTGTAGGAAAGGGAACGGCTTTGTCCTATATACCTCAGAGACATGGAACTCTGAATTATCAGTGCTATTGAAAAACAAGAATGTATTGTGAGACTAAAATGGGAAATAAGGAGAACTGTGTGAAAAGTGTATTTGGCTTCTTATAACTACACCCCCATCCTAGTTGGCAGGAAAAGATCAGGTAAATCACTATTATCTACAGTGATATGCAACCACTATCCTGATGGAAAAAAGATGTTTTAATCCTACACACACACACACACACACACACACACACACACACACACACACACTTTAATCTGAGGTCTAGAATCTTGGATGGAGGAATACACATCAAGAAGTTCTAAAAATACTGTTAAGGTAAAAGGAAGAATTTATACTTGTATTTTTTTAACACCATAATTAAGGGAGCCTCATTCTACTAAGCTGGAGTTATAACAGTTGCAAACTGTTCCAACACTTACTCTTGGCCAGTTATGAATATCAGTGAATATTGGTCAGGAATTCCCTACTGTGCTATTATAGCTTCTTTTACCCTGGGCAATCAACACAACAGATAAAAAGCCAAAATTATGACTCCTTCAAACCTCTCCAATGCTTAAAAAGAGAAAAGGTGAAGAACTACGGCAGTAAACAGACATGCAGTCTATCTGGATCACCAGAACATTGGAATTACCTAGTGCCAATATCTATAGCAGAGGGAAAATAAATTATGTAATTAAAAGACCAATATTTGGGCTGAGAAGTCTTACACCAGCAATCCAATCTTTTCTCCTTAATCTTCGTGGTGCACTAATAGTGCTGCACATTTCTGCAAGGATGCTGGATTTGGTGGAATTTGAAACCTGCTAAGTTTTGTGGTCATGCAGGCATTCCAAAAATAGGCACAGATGTCACTCTTCTAGGTCTTTCTAGAGATAGATTAGGTGGCACATAACAGAAAAATCATCTCCATTTGTTCTTTGGTCTGCTGAGAAAGAGATGGATCTAAAATCAGGGTTAATGGTGTGACCTAGCAGAGAGCAATGGTGGAACCCTCCAGGACATAGCAAAATCATAGACAAACCCTCTGTTGTTGTAGCAATTTATATTATCGTTTCCTGTGTATGCACCCAATCTAAGGCTCTCTCCACACCTCACTCTGTAAATAGTATCACTGAACATCTGGGTGTCGGAAACCAACAAGCACTTCAGGTTCTTCTTCGTCTCCTTCCGCTATCAGCAAGTCCTTCGCTCTGCAAAGCACGCACATCTGCCGCCCATTTTTCTCTATCTTGACGACCGGACCTGAAAGCCACAATTCTGCTTTAGACTATCTGGCCACTTCTGCGGTCCCTACATTCACTGCCCCTCCCCAACTATAAACTATTTATCCGATCTAAATAAGGTCACGTCGCACTCCTTGCCAACCCTCCCCCCACCCCCCCCCCCCCGTTCTTTCACATTGCGTCTGGAACAAAATAAAATCCAAACACACACTTGGCTCGTTGGTGAATCTAAAGACAGGATCTCACTATTCAGCCCAGGCTGCCGTGGAACTGATGGCTCTCCAGGTTCCTCTTCCCCGGTGCTGGGATTCACGGGCGCTCGCCCAC